GGAAATAGGTGAGGACTGATACCTCTCCTCTACATCCACACACAGAAATTTTAAAACAGTTTATCAGTGCCAATGAATATATTTAGGTCATATAAAAATAAAGTTTGAAACATGCTATAAAACATGTTAAATGAAAGACACTAGTCACAATAGGCTATGTATGTTGTGATGGTTTGAAAGAAAATGGCCCCCAAAGGGAGTGGTACTATTAGGAGGTGTGGCTTTGTTGGAGTAGGTGTGATCTTGTTGGAAGAAGTGTGTCACTGAGGAGGTGGGGTTTAAGGTCTCATATATGCTCAAGCCACTCCCAGTGTGACAGTTTACTTCCTGTTGCTTCCAAGATATAGGACTCTCAGCTACTTCTCCAGCACTCTGTCTGCCTGCACACAGTCATGACCCACAATGATGATAATGGGCTGAACTTCTGAACTGTAAGCAAGCCACCCCAATTAAATGCTTTCCTTTATAAGAGTTTCCGTTGTCATGATGTCTCTTCACAGCAATGAAAACCCTAGCTTTCATTTACATAAAATGTCCACAACAGACAAATCCAGATAGAAACTAGACTTGTGAGGGCTGGGGGCTTAGCTTAGTGACATAGTCTTGCTTAGCACTCATTAGATTATCAGTTTGGGTCTCCTCACTAAAAAAAGCTTTCTGTGGTGGTCTGGAGGGACTAGGAAGAGGGACTAGGGCATGACTACTAATGGGTATGAGGCTTTGCGGGGACTTATAAAAATTTTCTGAAATTGTGTACTAATGACTTTCTAATTATACTAAAAACCATTGGACTATATAATCTACATATTATATATTCATTTAAAATTTTTACTTTCAAAATGTACAGGTAACAAAGAGCGTATGAAAATACAAATACCCAGGCTTCAATACTAGAAAATCTTGTTCTGATCTGGGAGGTACAGAAATCTGTTATTTTTAACTAAAACTCAAGGGAATCTGATATGGATAGTTTTCACACGTACTAAAAACATTTATCTAAGGAAGTTAAAATCCAGAGAGGTTTTGTGCACACACAGTTATTAGCTCCACTTTACAGGTGCAGAAACTGAGTTACAAAGAGATTGGTTAACTGGCCCAAGAAAACACATCTGGGTAGCACCATAATTCAATGCTAGGGGCTGGCAAGGCCGGTCCCAGAGCTATGTTCTCAGTAACCAAGATATAGAAGCTGTGTTCTAAGGTCAGGCTGAGAAGCCAACCATGAGACAGAATCCAGGTTATGACGTTAAAAAGGTTTGGATAACAGTTTACAAAAAAAGAAAGAAGAAAAGAAAGAAAAAAAACATTAAGCACCATACCAATTTTTAGTAGCCCAAACAGACTGGGAAAGAGCTGCCCTTTCCAGCTGCCGTACAGAACAAGGCTCGGGCAACTGTGGGGCTAAGACAGTGCAGTCACTTGGAGAGGGAAGGGCAGGTCTGCAAACTTAAAGTCAGGAAGGAACAGGTGCCACTTGTTCCTAAGTCCGGTTCAGAGAAGCAGAAACCCACATCAGTGTGGAGAAGTCGAGCAGCACACTCGTACAACTTGACTGCATTTCTTCACGGCAAGTGAAATGATGGGTGTGCAAATAAAAACCTTCCTCCCACAAAGGGAGAAAAGAAAAAGCAAGAAATCACATCAAAGGGGTTCTATAAAGGCAACATCCTCATTTGAATACACCCTACATCCTCACTCCCTCAGAACAAAACCTCCCCGTTCGCGTAGACCTGCTGCACTCAGGACCTGAGCAGTCAGGGGTTTTTCAGACACTTCAAGCAACATCCTCCACAGCTCTTTCTAAGACTGAGGTGGCATTTTTCCCGCTAAATTCAGGGCTGTAAGCACCGGCTATGCGATGATCAGTGTAGAGAAACTCTCACAGGAAACTGGAAAAATACAAACCGGTAGAACTAAGTCAACTCCCAGGGGCACTAGTTCTGTAATTCAGAAAGGGAACAAGTCAATGTAAGCCAAAAGGCAGTTTTCCAGGAAAAGGGATTTTAAACAGCTCTTGACGATTTTCCCTCTTGTCTCTCATTTCCTGGTTTAATCTTCCAAGTAGGGGGTGGGGGAAGTATACTGGAACAAGCCTGTAAGCTCACCATTAGGCAGGCTGAGGCAGAAAGACCCTAAATTTCAAGACCAACCTGGGTTACAACAGTAAGGCCCTGTTTCAACAAAAAGAATAATCTTCCAAATGTTCCTCTGTGAGAACATTTTACCTCTTTCTGATACCCCAGTAGGGGATCTCATCACCTTGCCATTCCGTTTTTATAGAGACCTTTAACTTTACCAGTATTGTATAATTTAATCTTTACCACAAGCCTATAATGAGAATACCTACAATATTTATTGTGGTAAAGAAAATCAAATTCAGTAATGAATAATCATCCAAGGCTTTAGGTATGCTACACCAGAACTCAAACTTACCCTTCTTTCTGTGAAATCCTATATACTAGTCTATGGCCTTATTATGTGTCTAATTCTGTGAACTATGTGAATAATTTTCCTAAAGTCACTTTATATAGTCTCAAAAGCCTTTACATCCCCCTCCCACTTACGTGACCCCTCTCCAGTCTACCTCTACTATCACTGAGTTTACACAGAGACCCTCCTAGTAAGCCTACTAAGAAATCTCAAGCACCATCGTATTCTGTGTATCTTTCCTCAAGAAAGACTCACTTGAGGACCAGAAAGATGGCTCAGCGGATACCGATACTTACTGCCAAGCCTCAAGGGATTCCTGGGTCCCACACAGTAGGAGAAAACTGATTCTCAAAAGTTGTCCTCTGACCCCCACACCCATGTGCACACACACACCAAAATACATCAAATAAAATAAATAACTTAAGACTTTCTTACTTGATATGTTCTTCTTCTCATTCTCAAAATCATGTCTGAACTCTCAGACATGAAGCCTTTCAACCCAGGCTTCTCACTCTTAGCTATCAGATCTCAAGAACCATTCTCTCTCATTTGAATTTCTGCAAAAAGTACCTTCTGAATACATCAGGTGTTTCCTTAAATACACTTACTTTGAATACGCCACTTCCTATTTGGCTAGTCTGAGTACTCTGATAATAGGAACCTGCTATTTCCCTCCATCACTACATCAAAGAGTGCAGAGGCTGATATATATTGTCTTGATTCTGTTCCCAAGCCCTGTCATACAGTTGCCAGAGACTCTCAACATTTCAGATGAAGAATGGGAAAGGTACTAGGGTTAAGTAACCTGACAGTCTTCATACTTTATTCCAATAGCAGAGATACTTAAAGGCCAAATTATCCTAACACAATGTGCCAGATACTACAGTCAGCTCTCTCTATCAATATTGCACAGGCAAGGACCAGCCAAACATGTACAGACAGTATTCAAGGAAAGAAAAAACAAAAAACCTCTGTATGTCCTGAACTCACAGATATTTTTGTAATATTTAACAACTGTCTGCATAGCACTTACTTTGCAGCAAGTATTCCAAATAATCTAAAGGTGATTTAAAGTATACTGGAGGGTATGTAGCCATTTTATGAACAATCAGAGTATTCTTGGATACCAAAAAATATGCAGTGAATCCTGAAATCAAACCTTCACAGACACCAAAGAGCACTGTGTTTAGTAATCTCTGCCTTGGCAGAATGTTCATGTTTATGTTTGCTGGTGATAACCCAAGCAGAGGGAAAACAGGGAAGAGTCACCCTTGGAAGGCTCAGCACAAGCTATAAGATGCACTGCACCCAATAGAAAGGGTGAATTTGAACACAAAATGCCAACCAATTCCCAGGACACATTCCTATTTCTCAAGAAGTATGAAGAATGTGAGAGTAGTCAGAAGGCAGGGGGAGGTTCTGAGTTCGGGCCAGCTTAGCTACACAGCGAGACGCTTTCAATTTGAATCTAATGACCCGCAAAACAAACAAACAAACAAACAAACAAACAAGCAGAACTGGGGAAACGGCTCAGTGGTGGAGCACTTGCCTGCTAGTAGGAAGAGATGCAGGACCGGAAGCCCTCAACATTATCAGGTATTCATTTCTTAAGCACTAGCCATCTGTTTGGCACAGAGGAATCAGAAAGCTTTTCGATTCAAATGTTTAAAGAAAAAAGGTTTACTATATTAAAGCACCACGCTCCACCCTTATCACATCAGCTGGGAATGAGAACACTGCAGGGGGGCCATAAGATATATCTAGGCTAAATCCCTCATTTTGCAGATGAGTAACAGACATGGGGAGAACAGGTATATTTTAGGTCACATAGCTAGAGGCAGAACCAATACTAGGCCTGTTTTTCACACAGCTGTTTCTACCAGGATGCTGTGCAAAGAGCAAGAAGGTCAATTCAGGAGCAGCCCCCCACCCCTTCTTTTAAGCCCTTATGGATAAGGATGGGTAGGCAGAGTGGAAAATCAACTAGCTGGTACAGACAGCAGGAGAAGAAAAGAGAAAGGAAGGGAATGAAAAAGGGAAAAATAATCTTAAGGCTTCCTGTCAGCCCAGCAAGGAAAGTCAACATACGAATATTTCATTATTTGATGTATCATGAAAAAAAAATTCGCCTAGAAACGTTTGTGAGTAAAAGGCCAGGGAACTCTTTGTACTCTCTAGCAACACGCGAGGGTGACGCTGGAAGTTTGGGAAACACTCTCTTTAATTTCTTTGGGAGATCAGTTTTCCGCGTTGGTGAAATGGGCACTTTGAAGAGTGGGCCTCCTAGCACAATAGAAACGTCATCCTTACGGTGAAATATAGCCATAACTATGAGAAGCTGCGGTGGCGGCCAGTGTGAGGGACCAGCACACTTGCGAAAAGAGATGACCCAAAGAGAAGGCTTGGATTTGAATGTGTAGAGCGGGCAGATTACAAGCGTGCGTTGGTGGGCTACAGAGGAGCGCTCGTCAAGAAGCCGCAGAAAAGGGGGGCGGGGATGGGGACGGGGGGCTCATCACCTCCTGGGCATCCCCAGGGCTCTAGACTGTCCCCAGGACTCAGCTCCTCACCTTATCCAACAAACCACTGCGGCTGCTGCCTGTTCCGCAGCTGGGGCCGCCGCCAGCCCCACTACTGCCTCCGCCACCGCCGCTTCTCCCGCCTTGCGACGCCGCCGCCGCCATCTTGTCTCCCTCCGTGTCTCCCTCCCCTACGACTTGTCCAAAGCCGATTGGCTAAAGCTGCCCACGTGATGCACCGCGCAGAGCCCATCGGGATCCGTAGTTCGGTGTGCTGACGAGGGCTGAGAGTGGCCGCGGGGCTTGCCGGGACGTGTAATTAGAATCTGCGGTCGCCGGTTGCCGCTTACGTTGCTAGCCTTAGCGTCGCGGTTACTAAGGAGTGGGTGGGGAAGACTGTGGCAAGCGCCACCGTGGAGCGACTCCGAGATTCCCGTGAGGCTCGCAGGCGTGCATCCCGCCTGACGGGGACATCGCCTCCGCGGACTGTACGGAGGCGGAAACGACGCCGGAGGCAGGTGTGGCTGGAAACTTAGTCTGCTTGAGTTAAGAGTCTTTCCAGCCCCAGAGATCGTCTCCTAAGAAGTGAGGAAGAGCCAGCTCTTCACCCTTTTCAATTTCTGTTGTTGGAGCATTAACTCGAGTATTCTCTCCAAAGTGACTATCATCTTAGCTGTTAGTAGTGTTTCGTGTAGAACTGTCATTTATTGAGTGCCTACTGTCTACCAGGCAGTGCCCTACATGCACTTACATCCATCCATCCTGTGTCTCAAAATAATGCTGTTTAGACAAGAAAATGAATTTACCAGAAGCCAGAGAGCATGGATCAAAACATAGTTTTTAGTTTTTTTTTTTAATTAAAAGCATGTTTCCAGTTTGGCATTCTGATTTTACAAATATTGATTGAGAAAAAATATTGAGCACCAATAAAACTTGACAATGTACCAACTAAGGCATGTCAGGAAAATAAATCTGATTGCTACTCTAGAGGCTTAGAATTATCGCATAGTAATATTACTTTATGCCATATTACATTGCATTATTTAGCTTTTATACCCATATACTTCCCATAAATATACAGATGATGGACCAAATACTAAATTTGTGAAGGCATTATTTTGTTTTGTTTTTCTGAGATAGGGTCTTACTGTAAGGATCTGGCTGGCCTGAAACTCACTGTGTAGACAAATTGGCTTCAAACTCACGGAGGCATACACTCCCATGCCCAGCTTCTGAACTGCTTAGCATCTAGTCAGTCCTGTTATAGCCACTCAGACTATACCTCTGAATGAAACAGACAAAACCTGTCTTGGCAAAGCTAATGTTCGTATGAAAGTAGCGATCACTAAAGAATACCAGATTGGATTTCGTCTTCTCTAAAGCAGTTCCTGGCCACCGCAGTTAACTGCCTCATAACTTTTTGTCAATGCGGTCCGTCCTTCTTGCGATGTCTCATTTCTCAGCACTCAGCTCTGATGCCATCCTGCTCTTCGAAACCCTCCTCGATCCCTTCCCTTTTCCTTCCTTGCAGACAAAACAAAGTACTCCGGCAGCATTTTGTTTATGCCTCTGCTTAGTCGGGGGTAGCATTTATTAAGAGTCTACCTTCTGTAGGCCACTCCCTGTTTGAGATGCTGGAGATGAAGAGATTACTAGGACCTAGGTTTGCTTTTGGAGGGCGTCAGCCTCAGCCTGAGGTTGGTGTGGCAGAGAACAGTGAGAAAACCAGACCATTCTACTACAGTGTAGTAGTAGAGTACCTCCATTAAGAAATAGGTCCTGCTGGACGGTGGTGGCACACGTCTTTAATCCCAGCACTTGGGAGGCAGAAGCAGGCGGATCTCTGTGAGTTCAAGGCCAGCCTGGGCTACAGAGTGAGTTCCAGGAAAGGTGCCAAAGCTGCACAGAGAAACCCTGTCTTGAAAAAAACAAAGAAAGAAAGAAAGAAAGAAAGAAAGAAAGAAAGAAAAGAAAGAAAGAAAGAAAGAAAGAAAGAGGTCCTTGCCAGGAGATGGTGGCGCACGCCTTTAATTCTAGCACTCAGGAGGCAGAGTCAGGCAGATATCTGTGAGTTCGAGGCCAGCCTGGTCTACAGAGCTAGTTCCAGGACAGCCAGAGCTACACAGAGAAACCCTCAAAAAACCAAGAAGAAAAGAAAAGAAATAGGCCAGAGGATTGGAGAGATGGCTCAGCAGTTGAGAGCACTTGCTGTTCTTGCAGAGGATTCCAGTTCAATTCCCAGCATCCACAAAGGCTCATAAACACCTCTAATTCCAGTTCCAGGGGACCCAGTGCCTTCTTTTGTCTTCTATGGGCATTGGGTACACATGTATACGGGTAGGCAAAACACTCAGACACATAAATTAAAAATAAATCTTAAAAAGAAATAAAGCGGGCCTAACATAGGCCAATCTGGGAATAGGGAGGTACAGGAAAGATAACTGCATGAATCAAGAAAGACAGACATGTGATAGGCCCAAGGGATGGAGGAAGCAGACATATGAAAATAAGGAACATCAGTGCCTGTGTGGGGCGTGGGAGTGATGCAGGCACACAGGAGTAGGAAAGAGACACACCAACAAAAGATACGTGCTTGTTGGAGCTAGGCAGTCCCAAAGTCAGCTTGACCTTAGCTTTCAAGTTTGAGAGAGAGTTCAGAGGTAGCTAGAGTTTCCCCTCAAGTCTGGACCTTGGTCTTTCATTTTCCTACCATAAAGATAAGTTCATGCTTCTATTAGGGTTACATTCTAGAAAACATAACCAAGGAGCTATGTTACTTCTTGTCCCTTTAGTTGTAAATCAATACCTTCTCACCTATTATTCTTCATGCTGAATTGGAATTTCTATAATCATGTACGTCCTGTCTAATATTTGAGTTTGATTTATTCTTTGTGCTAAATGCATGGCATTTGTTTTTCCCAGACTGGGTCTTAACTTTCTTTCTTTCTTTCTTTCTTTCTTTCTTTCTTTCTTTCTTTCTTTCTTTCTTTCTTTCTTTCTTTCTTAAGATTTATTTATTTATTATGTATATACAGTGTTCTGTTTGCATGTATCCCTGCAGGCCAGAAGGGGGAGACAGATCTCATTACAGATGGTTGTGAGCCACCATATGGGTGCTGGGAATTGAACTCAGGACCTCTGTAAGAACAGCCAGTGTTCTTAACCTGTGAGCCATCTCTCCAGCCCAGGTCTTATCTTTCAACTTTGTCTTTGCTATTTTCATTCTGCCAAAATGTATTTCATTTAAATGATCTTAAAAATGGTCCCTTCTTTTCCCATCTATGCTTTTTGCAGCCTGCTTAAACAACCCGACTGCGTTCTAGTGGTAAACAATGCGGCTCTTAAAATCCTATGTCCATGTCTTTGTTTCTGTGACTTTTGTGTGTGTACATATGTGATACTCAGTATCAAACCCAGGGTCTTGAGCATATTAGCTACATTCCTAGCCCCTTTTATATTCTCTTTATTGTTTTATCCATCTATTTCCTGGAATTGTTTCCATCCTATTATCCCCCCACACACACACACACATGCACAAACCCTTCATACAAGACACATTTGAGAGCATAAGGCTCCAAATATCCAAAATGTGGGATATAATTAATAAGGTTCAAGACTTCTTAATGACAGGCTAAGAAAATTTACAATATCTCTTTTACAGGTAAAGAAACAGGTAAAGAAACAAAAACAAAAAGGAGGCAAAGACTCATTCCCAAGGTCAAAGATCAGGTAAGTACTGTATAGACACAAAACTAGGCCCTGATGTCCTAGTGAATTGCCAGATCCTTCTCTAGCAGCTGCCATCTCTAGCATTTCCCAGACATTGATTTCCTCATTCATTCACTTGTCTAGCTGATAGATTGGTTGATCACCAGAGAGGTGTCCTGAAAAACAAACCAACTGATTTTGTACCCAGTCACCTGCCCTTTTTTAGAGAGCTCTAGCTCCGTGCTAGGTGTCAGGGCATTCTCATTTGGCTTTCTATTGCTGTAATAAAACACTCTCAAAAAGCAGCTTGGGGAGAATCCGTCTTGCATGTCCTGATCCGTGAGGGAAGTTTATCAGTGAGGAAAGCCAAGGCAGGAACTGAAGCAGAGCCACTGGAGGAATGCTACTCACTAGCTTGCTTTCTTATACAACCCGGGACTGCCTTTCCACTGTGACCTAGGCCTTCCCACACCAGTCATTAATTCACAAAACATGCCACAGGCTTGCCCATAGGCCAGTCTGATAGTGGCATTTTCTCAGTTGATGTTCACACTTCCTAGATGACACTAACCCTAGTTTGTATCAGTTGACAAAAACAAACAAAAGGAAACTAACCAGAGAATGGATGTGTGTAAATGAGGTAATCATAGGCCCTATAGCAGGGGGGAATGTTGGTGAGGGGAGCAAAATAATGATTCTAGAAGTGCGGCATGTCAGAGGACCACCTGAGAAAAGCCTTCACTCCTTTGTAGGGAGCTCAGGAATCAGAACACACAGAGGCTTTGCATTAGACCAGAGGAGAGCCCAGCATTCACTTACTCATCTGCTGTGTGCTAGATGCTGTGTTAGGATAAACTGATAATTGCCTACATACACTGCCCTTCCCCGGCCCTGAGGGAAATTAGAGAGATCAGATTCATATACACCCTTGGGTCCCAGGAGTGCTATCATATCCTTCGTTTGGCTCACTCATGTCTTTTGGGTGCTTCTTCTGTGCTGGGTCCCACGGATGGATGCGAGGCGATGACTTGGGAGTGTTTCCAAGTTGGAGGTTCATAGTCCCTTGGTGGAGCTTTGCATAGTTGGTAGTGATTTTATGAGGTCGAAAGCAGTGAAGCCATGAAGGAGACATTAAGGACTGAATAAACAAACCCAGAGTCTAGCAAAAGCACAAGTATTTCCCACTAGAAAGTCCAGGAGAGGCTTTGTGAGAGGGGTGGCGTGTGAAGGGTGCAGAAAGATATCCTTCCACTACTCACTTTATCCACCGCTTCATTTCATTCTCACACAGTTCTCTGGGGCACAGAAGTTTTAGCTTCGTCTTCTGTGTGGGAAAACGGAGACTCCAAGAGGTAAAATGATTTGCCCACAGCCGTCCAGCTTTGTAGTAAAAACTAGACCCAAAGTTAAGCTCCTTGTTCCCAAACTGCCCTCTTCCTTCTGCCCCACCTCTCCTACTTGTCACTGCCAGGGAGCCTCTTCACAGGAGGCCTTGGTCCCAGCTCTCCTCACTGCTCCTGTCTTTTATGTACTCTTCCCACACTGTCAACACCTCAGTCTCACAGTCTTCGGGAAACTCCCTTCCCTCAGCCAGGGGGTCTCGGAGAGTCTCTCATTACCTGAAGCTGCCCCCAAAGCAGATTTTTTGGTAACTAAAGTCTGTTAACGAAAAATCTCTAGGAGTTCACAATTTAGGAACTCAGATCTTTGAGGAGGGCCACTACTGAATTTTAATGGATGAGATCGACCAGGTAGACAGGGTAAAAATGGGTATTTTATGCTGAAGCAACACTAAGCACAAAGCTGGAAACAGTGGTTACAATATAGCCTTGTAAAGCTGAATGCCCAGGACTGGCTAGCCTGGAAAGATCAGGGCACAGATGCTAAGGACCATGGAGAGCAGGCCCAGGGCCCTTGGGCTCAGAGCAGAACACCTACCCAGTGTGTTTGAGGCTTTGGGTTACAGCACAGCACAACAAAAACAACATGCAGCTAAACAAACAGAAATGATAGGTGCCCATGGTGTTCTCAGGAGTCCAGTCAGAAGAGCGTGGGTGGCGGCAGTCTAGGTATGATGAGAGGGTGAACGAAAGCCATGTGAAGAGTAGGCTGCTACAACAGTATGAGCTGGAATTCTGCTACAGTGACCAATAGAAGTAGAGGACAAGAAGCAAGGCCCAGGGACCAGACTGCAGTGTAGTCCCCAATACATTTCCAGGCAGCAGCGAATGTTTGTTGTTGAATTGGCAAAGCTAAGTAATAGTTTTCCGGTTTGGTTTGGTTTTGAATAGGATTTCTTACTTTATGAAAAGTAAAGAAATCTTTTACTATGAAAGCCAAAGAATTTTCATCACAGAAAACCAACAGTAGCCTTGGAGTTGACTATCTTCCCAGATGTGTTTGGTTTGGCCTGCACATTGTTTCAAAATGACAGATGAGTTTCTCCTGCTTAAATAACCAGATTTCATACAAAAAGCAGCAGATCTCGCTTGAAAAAAAAGATGGGAAGATCTGGCAACATTGCCTGAGATTTCTACTTGGCAGCGATTGGGGAGGGCTGAGTAGGAGCTGCTCCTGCAGGCACACGTCAGCTCACATACATATCCTCCCCTTCCCCACTGTCTCTCTGGTATCCAGCTTCTTTCACCCACTCCACTCCCACAGCCTCCCATCTCCTGTAAAGACACGGATTTGCAATGCTTGGCCACTTATGTTGATTTATGCAAGGTTTGACATCAGATTCTGACAAAGACTTAAACATACAGATGATAAATGTGTGTGTGTGTGTGTGTGTGTGTGTGTGTGTGTGTGCGCGCGCGCGCGCGCGCGCACGTTGCTAAGGATGGAGCTCAAGTTCTTGCACATGCTGGGCAGCCAGTTTATCTTCATCTTTCCTGAACTCTGCAAGCTCTTTAACTTCCTGTTTCCTGAGTAACAGGTGATAAATTTAACTGTAATTAGGGGTAGTTCCTCTTTCAAAGAATTATTCTGAATACAGCCACAATTTGACTTTAACAAAAAAAAAACCAAGTCAGACCCTGGAGGCAGAACCATATCCACTTCCAACTTCTGTTTGTATACATGCTTGTACATACATTTCTGTCTGTATATGTTCATGCACATACATGTACAGCCGACAGGAAGTGAAAGATCATTTCCTTTGTGTTCTTTTTATTCCTTAGGTGGTAGAGAGATGGGCCAGTCAGAATATGTGAAATGTCTTCCCTATCACAGCTGGGATCCCTGAAGGAGCCTTCCTTCCCTGTCTCTTCCTCCCTTCAGTGGAGGAACCCCTCCCCTGGGCTGGGCATACCCTCCCTCCTGATCGCTCCCAGAGAGGGTAAGGCCACCCTTCTCTCTCATCATTCCCTCCTCCTTGAACCTGCTCCTTCCTCTTGGTGATAATATAGCTGAGTCTTTCTCATCCTGTTAACCATGGTCATCATAGAACATGACCAATGTGTGCCAACCAGGTGCTGGTTCCACTCCTAAGCCCATCCGCAAGCATTTTCTCATTTGATCATTAAAATAGTTCCATAGAAGAGGTTCACTCACTGTCTACATTTCACAGAGGGAGAAACTGAGGCAGTGTGGTGAAATATTAAATAACTTAAATAAAGTGTCCAAAGCATTCTCACTAGCATTTGAACCATCCAGAGTCCATGCTTTGTAGTGACTGCCCTCCAAGGCTGGGACTAGAGCAAAAGCCTTGCCTTTGTCCACTGTGTGGGCCAGAGAGTACATCCCTTGACAGTCCCCACACCCCACACCCCCAAGTCCCGGCCCTGCTGGCTGCTTCCTCTAGACTGTGCTACTGCTTGCCTGCCTCCCTTTCTCCACTCTTCCATAGGTCAGGATTTAGTTTTGCCCTTCCCTGGATGCTGACGTCAGTTCCTCAAGGTCTGTTTTAGGTGGTACCCTTACCTGACTTCTCAGCTCCTCCTCTCTGATGCTTTCCTAAGCCTTGGGGTCCCTTGGCTTATCTGACAGCTCCCTGGGCATCCTCCACCTTCCTGTTCACCTCTCTACACCTGGTTTCTGGTCTTGTTTCTGTTTTTGGCTTTTGTGTTGTGCCTTCCCCCTTTTGCTCCCCGCTCCTTCCTTTGAGCTTTGTCTTTGTCTGGTTCCTCTGTGTTACATGGGCCCTCATAGCTCACACTAGTTTGGTACAGTACTCCCTACAGCAGTCCCCATTGCCAGTCTCATCTACTGGAACCATTTTGTCAGACCTCCCTTTCTCAAGCACAGCTCCGGTCATGGCTTGTGTAAAACTCAGCTCTTGGCTTTGTCTCCTAGTCACTGACTGACTAACTAGGAGGAAGTATGAAACACAGTATGAAACCACAGCCTCCCGATCCTCATAGCAAACACCCTTCAGAAGCAGGCACTATCTTCCTGTCAAACCTTACTGTGGGAGTCTCAAATGCACAGCCTGCCCCTTCCTGGGTCTGACCATTTCTTCTTGTGTACCATGATACCCTCAGTCCTGTGGCTCTTTGTGTTTGGACTGTTTATTCTCCTCTCCATCAGTAAACTCACTTTACACCTCAAACCAGATTTATCCAGTCCAAACTTGGTTTGCTCATCACTTCTCCTAAAATGTGAGCCCCCTTTCTCTGAACTCTGTTAAAACAAAGACAACAGCCCTTCTCATTCCATCCACTCATCCCTCTGTTAAGGTAGGAACATTGCCCCCACAGGGGGACCCTGGAGTTCAGAGGAGTAGAGGAATATGCATAGTCACACAGCAAGGAAAGACAGAGCCGGCCTTCACATCAGGGCTGTGTGAGCCTAAGCTAGTATTCTGCTGAGTTACGACTAGTTTGAACTGGAAAGCCCAGGTCCTGCCCACCCCCCTGCTCTCTTCACAGCATCCCCATTGCTGAAGCAGAGCCCCTTGGTCCTCAGAGGTAGGGTGTACAGAACACAGTGGTCTAAGATCAGGTGGGCTCAGGAATGGCACTGGGGAGGGCTGCCCTGTGCCTTTCCACCCTTCTGACATCCCACTGTCCTTGCTGTCTCTCAGGGAGATGATGTCTTCAGGAATGTACAAAATGGACAATGGCAAGCCTTGCCTCAACAACTGCTTTCCAGCCAAAAGTCTCCTTCGGATGCCGGAAGAAGGTGAGATGAGTCTCAGATTGCTGCCTTTTCTCCACACCCAGCTCCTTCCTGCCTTGCACAGTTTTCCTCCTTTTCTTCTGTGTCACTCAGTCCTGTCCCTCTCATCCCTCTTTTTGAAGCAGCCCTATTGGACCTTCTGCAGTGTGCTTTTAACCACAGTGCCTTGTTACTCGAACTCTAAATTGGTCTTTTAATAAAAAACAAACAAACAAACCCGGAGCCAGGTATTGAGGTAAATGCTGAAAGATCAGAGAGACAAAGGAACAAGCCACTGCCATGTCTTACCTCTAGGACTCCTCTAGCCAAAAGGACTTCCTCAGCCGAAAAGGCCTCAGTTCCTGTCTCCTCACACCATATATACCTTTCTCCACCCAGCCATCACTTCCTTCCTAGTGCTGGGATTAATGGTGTGTTGTTTCCCAAATACCGGGATTAAAGGTGTGAGATCTCAAGTGCTGGGATTAAAGGCGTGTGACTCCCAAGTACTGGGATTCAAGTTGTGTGCCACCACTGTCTGGCTTTGTTTCTCTCCTAGACCAAGTCAATCTAATGGAGTCCAGGGTGGCTTTAAACTCACAGAGATCCAGATGGATCTCAGCCTCCTGTAGCTAGAGTTTTCCTGCCTGGCCCACAGTCAGGACAAATCTCTATCACCTGCCAGTCCCACAGCCGCTCAGACCCAACCAAGTAAACACAGAGACTTATATTGGTTACAAACTGTATGGCCGTGACAGGCTTCTTACTAACTGTTCTTACAGCTTAAATTAATCCATTTCCATTAATCTATACCTTGCCACATGGCTCGTGGCTTACCAGCATCTTCACATGCTGTTTCTCATCGTGGTGGCTGGCAATGTCTCTCTGACTCAGCCTTCCACTTCCCAGCTTTATTCTCCTCCTTGTGCCTAGCCAATGGCCAATCAGTGTTTTATTTATTGACTAATCAGCAACACATTTGTCATATAGAACATCCCACAGCACTTCCCCTTTTTTTTTTCAAAAAGGAAGGTTTTAACCTTAACAAAGTAAAATTACATATAATTTGGGAATTTGGGCGTAGCTTCTCTTACTACTTCCTGCTGGAGGGGGGTGCTGTATCTTATGGGGATACAAAGAAAATTTTAGGATATGGAATAGTCCATGAGGCTGTATTGTCTGAGCCAGTTGCCTTGAAACCATTCTGGATGTTGGATCATCTGGGCCATGGTGTCATCAGAGACCTTTCAGGGGGTCTTGGCTGGTCAAACCTGATGTATCTTAATCTTGAACAAATCCATAACCTTTGGCTTTCTGTGGGAACAAAAGCAGAGTCTCCTTTCCAAAGCAACATATCCTTATATCCAAATTTTGAAGTCAAGGTACCTTTAAAATATACATTTTGGCATAACTCAACAGCTTTCACAATCAAATGTTTTTCTGCAGTTAAAAATCCCAAAGACAACACAATCCAGATTCTCTGTGTAATATCCATTTTTACGTGGCTTATTTTTATACTACCTTTACTGTCTCTATAAAGACTTTATTTTTAAAAACTATTTATTTCTTTATATAACTGTATATATTCCTTTTTCTTTCTCTTTCAAGACTACTTACATATTTACACACATTGTAAACTATTACACCTGAATCTGTCTTATTGTGAATCTATTGCTTTAAGCTGCAGCAGCTGTGGCTGCTGGCTCTGCCCATCTCAGCTTCCCAACATGGCAGTGGTAGTTTACCGCCAGCTCTGGGAGCTATTGTGGGTCTATGCTTTTATCCAAGCAGCGTGTAGCCCAGAAACCTCTTTTTTTGTTTTGTTCTAGGAAAGGCTAAATCCACCACGCAGCTTAATGTGCCACTTGCAGAGGCCTCATTCCTGCCATACTGCAGGTTGAGCATGCACGCTAGGAACCCACTAGTAGCTCAAACCAGCAGCTGCCACTCATTTGAGAGAGACAATTAGGAACTGTTTTTAGTTCCATTTTAGAATCTTTTTTTTTCAGGTTTTAGGTGGAAACTCTTGCCCCACGTTGGGCGCCAAATGTAGATGTAACCAACCTTCTTATTAAATAAGAAACACAGAACCAATGCAAAGAAGAAAGCCAAGAGGTCAGAGCTAAGAGCTAAAACCTTACCCTTCCTCCTGCAGTGGTCCTACCTCTCCGAACCAGAGCTACCCCTGTGTTAAAGTCTTTATATAGAGTTCCTGTCCTGCCTTCTCATTGGTTGTAAACCCAACCACATGACCGCCTCCTCACGGCCTGTCTGTATAGGCCTCCAGGTTTTCCATGATTTGTATTGAGATTAAAGGCATGTGTATCCAATAATGGCTGTATCCCTGAACACACAGAGACTTACCAAGCTCTGCCTACCAAGTGCTGGGATTACAAGCGTACACCACCACTGCCCTGCTTTCCTATGGCTTGCTAATAGCTCTGACCCCTGGGGCAACTTTATTAACATACAAATAACATTTTAATACAAATAAAATATCACCATAGCCTCCCGAGTGCTAGGATTCAAGGTGTGTGCCACCACTGTCCGGCCTCTATGTTTAATCTAGTGGCTTGTTCTGTCCTCTGATCTTCAGGCAGATTTTATTAGGGTACACAATGTGTCACCACAGTGCCTTCTGTTCAGTAGCCTCTCATTGCTGACACCTTTAGAGGCACATGTCACTCACAGTCTAACCTATGCTTAGTCTCTGCCACAGTCCCTTTCCTTTATTCATGTTCCTTTCTTTTCAGGGTGCTCTTTTCACAAAGCTTTTTGATCTGCCTCTAGTATTCCAGCCTCCATTCCAGTCATCCAGAGTCTTCAAATCCATGAAGCCCTACTCTTCTCCCACCGTTTTTCAACAAGCCACCTTATGACTCCATAGTCTGTTATGTATCTTTCTTCCCATTTCTCTGATTAGATGAGTAATCATTTCTGTTCAGCCCCTAAATGAAAGCACTAATACTTCTCGGGTAGTTTTTCAAATATTGATCTAGTTAAAAACTCCTCTGGAGCAGGAACTTCTAGACTGAGCACAGCTTCTAAATGGAGCACTGTCTAGAAATCAGGTAGGTCTGTTGCTTTGGATGGGTAGGTCAAGAGAGAAGTACACCTTCTTTAATCCCTGGGTTTGTGACGTGTTGCCCACTCTACTCTAAGTATGTAATGTAAACCATATGTGTGTATGTGTGTATGCATACATATAGACATGTATATACTGTATTGTCTCATGAATAAAGACCTGATAAGGTTTAACTTATAAATTATAAATAGTATGAGATTAACATACAGAGTTAAAACTGTTCTAGTTATCTAAGAGTAAATAGAATAATTATATCAATATGCTGCAATGAATAAGTTATTTAAAATTATTCTTTATTTCTGGAATTTTCCACTTAATATTTTTAGGCCATAGTTTGAGTACCAGCAACTGGAAACATGCACACACACACACACACACACACACACACACACACACACACACACTTGAATAAAGGGGACCATAGAATATATAGGATTGGCTCTTCTCTGGTCTATTCTTTAATTTTTTGAGGGACATAGTAACTAGGGATGGATCACAGGGCCTTACACATGCCAGACCAGGGCTTTACCACAGAGCTACATCCCAACTCTGTGCTCCCTGCTTCTCCACGGTGATTTCATTTTTTACCTAAGCATCATTCCTGGCCACCTACTTATTTAAATCCTCTAAACCAGTGGTTCTCAACCTTCCTAATGCTGTGACCCTTTAATACAGTTCCCCATGTCATGGTGACCCCCCCAACCATAAAATTATTTTCATTGGTATTTCATAACTATAATTTTGCTACTGTTAAGAATCATAATATAAATATCTGATATGCAGGTTATCTGATATGTGACCCCTGTGAAAAGGTCATTTGACCCCCAAAAGGGTTGTGACCCACAGGTTGAGAACCACTGCTCTACAGCACCTACCAATATGGATTTATGATTTCTCTCACTCACTCAATCTTTCCTCCCCGACCCATGTCTCTTCTTTCACACACACACACACACACACACACACACACACACACACACACACACACACAGGAGGGAGGAGAGTGGAGCATATCTGCATGTGTTGGTATACATATTCACTGAGAGCAAAGAAGTATCAATAGTGAAAAGAATATACTTGTTGCCTGGATCTTGGTTTCTAAATATCATTATCCAATGAGAGGAGTAAGACCTCTCCCAAAAATAGATGTTCACAGGTCTGAGGCAAGGAAAAAAGATTTCAGATTAGGCTTGAACATCTTGTGGTACCAGAAAGCCAAGAAGTGCTTAGAAAAACATTAAGGGCAGCTTGAAAGGACACAGTAGCCAGATGACAGAGCCAAATCTGGGACAGCCTAAACAGGGAAATAAATAATGGTAGGATTGGGTTGTAAACCATGCAATAAATATTCATGAGCCCATAATGATATAAATAAACATTTAAGTCAATAAATTAGTGGGAGAGAAGAAACAGCTTTTCCTTGTGGTAAAAATCTCATTAATGAATACAGAAGACATGAGGGATATATAAAATCACTAATCAAATATCACAGTAATATTTTTTGCAGATAAAACCCACTTATAGATAATATTTCAGTCAAGATTCTTTAAAGAAGTAAGTCTAGTAGAAGATAGGTAAATGGATGAATAGATGGATAGATAGATAGATTGATACATGATAGGTAGGTAGGTAAGTAGATAGATAGATAGATAGATAGATAGATAGATAGATAGATAGAGCAGGTGGATAGATAGAATAGGAATTGTCTTATGTGACTTCAGAGGCTGGGATAACCCTTGAGGAAGAGCTGATTTTGAAGTAGGTTTTTTGTTTGTTTTGTTTTGTTTCCTGATGGTGAGTATGAAGCCCAGTGCTTTGCACAAGTTGCCAAGTGTAACTGAAGTTTTTCTGTGTCCTACCCAGTCTGCAGCTGCTCAGACCCAAGTAAACACATAGAGGCTTATATTAATTATAACTACATGGCCATGGCTCAAGCCTTTTGGTAGCTAGCTCTTATATCTTAAATGAACCCATTTGAATTAATCTATGTTTTGCCACGTGTTCTGTGGCTTACCGATCTGCTGGCATGTTGTTGCTTGGGCAGCAGGCTGGCATCTGCTGACTCGGCTTCCTCTTTCCAGAATTCTCCTCTCTGCTTATCCTGCCTATACTATACTTCCTGCCTGGCTACTGGCCAATCAGCATTTTATTTATCAACCAAATCAGAGTGACACACATACACAGCATACAGAAAGACATCCCCAGCAGGCAGGTGTTCTACCATTGAGCTATATCTCAGCCCATTGTCTTTTTTTTTGAAACAGAGTCTCTTGAGGTAGCCCTGGCTGTCCTGGAACTCACTATGTAGACAGGTTGGTCTTGAACTCACAGAGATCTACCTGCCTCTGCCTTGAAATGCTGGGATAAAAGGTATGTGCCACCATGCCTCGAAACCCACCCCCCCACCCCACCTCCCACCACCCCTGGCCACATTGCGGTCTTGAAGCAGGACTTCTTTTTCTTCTAAGAAGTCTGTTTTTGCTTCTTAAGTTTTTCAGCTAACCAAGTGAGGTAGGGCGACTAACATCACCTCATCCTAGATACTAATTAAAACTACAAAGTACTATCACAGCAACATAGTGTCTGAACAATTGCATATTATAATACAGTAAAGCTGACACATAGCAATTTGGGATGCTAGAAAAAAATGGGTAAAAGTATGAGAAACAAGACATTTGAACAACCTTCCAGGTATAGTTATTAATAACAAAGGTTAAAAATAGGAACTCTTCAGTAGTGAAATCAAGCAGACCCAACTTTGAATGAGTGATCAAAATTAGCACTGTAGGGCTGGAGAGGTGGCTCAGCAGAGAAAACTTGAGGCAATAATGAGGACCCATTCCCAGCATCCATGTAAAAACTGGGTAGTGTGGCCATATATGCCTGTCACCCCAGAACTGGGGTAAAGACAAGAAGATTGCTGGGGTTTGCTGGCCAACATAGCTAAAATGTTGAGCTTCCAATTCAACGAGACACTCTGCTTCGAGGGAACAAGATAGAGAGTGGCAGAGACACCTCATGTTTCTCTGGCTTCTACGTGCACAGCTGCACACATGCACTCATGTATCATTCATGTGTATACCATACACACATCAAATAGACATTGTAGTGTCAATGTGTTGTATAATAGTACACTCCTAAAACCCCAGCACCCAGGAGGTTGGGGCAGGAGGATTGTGAGTTTGAGGGCAGCCTGGGCTGCATAGTAAGAACCTGTTCCCCAAACAAGTTACCACCACTAGGAATAAAGCATAATGATTTCATGAGTTCCCTGAAATGATACACAGAGAAAGGCACAGCTTGCTTTTGTGGTAGCTTGCCAAGTTCAAAGCCTCAGTCTGAACAGGGGACAGCATCAGAAAAGTTCACACTGGGGGATATTTTATTTTAAATACTTTAATATTTAATATTTCACTGACAAAAACCCTTCACAATGTCAAGTCTGCAGAAGGAAAGAGAAGAGTGGAAAACCATCTCACCAGTTGGAGCAGACTAAGGAGCCATGCCATCTGAATGTGATGTGAGATCCTGGCCTGGATCCTGGGACGGGAGGAAGGCATTAGTCGGGAAACTGGCAAACTTCAAAGAAGGGCTAACATTAGTAGCTGATGTTGCATCAATGCTAATTGCCCAGGATCAGTAATTGTGTGGCTGTTATGTAAGATGAGAACAGAACATTAAGGAAGCTGGGTAAAGGCTGTGTGGCAATTTACACCATTTTTGCAACTCTTCTGGAAGTCTAAAATTATCTCAAAATGAAAAGTTATAAAGAAAAACAAAGCAAAAAGTACTCCCTTGATCGCCCTCTTGCTGCTAAAAGCCTATACCATTACCAGGCTCCATCCAGTTTCAGTACTTTTATGGTCTGCCTCTCCTGATCCCTCCAGCCTCATCTCACATTGATCTCCTGGCATGTCTGGGACTTTCCTCTTGGCCACTTTGAGTTTTCACACCAACTCAGACTGCTATCTCCAGGAATCAGGAATATGAAGAGGGAGTCAATGAGCACTAAAGTCTATGACCTAGATGGAGCAGCCTTTGGTGGTGGGGTACCAAACTGCCTGACTCATGGCAGGAGTGGGAAATTGTAGTTGGACTTTTTCTGTACCACCTAGCCAACTCCCAAATAAACACACAGAGACTTATTAATTATGAAAGCTTGGCTGATAATGCCATATTCTGTAGGTCTTTGAAGTGTTTGAAGATCACCTGTCTTTCTAAAATATATCTCTGTATGATCTTGAAAAACATAGCTAACATGACTATAAGTTTGATAGTTATAGATGACTACTAACCTGTACTTATTATCCTAAATAGTTTTCAAAAGCTAAAACTGTACATAACCCTTTTAAATGAGCTGTATAGATACAATACCTTAAACAAGAATAGAAACATATGTAATATAACAAGAATAACTTTAAATTTGTATCAATAAACAAAAATCCATACCAATGTAAACTATTTGAGACTAGTGGTTGCTCAAAGTAGACTCAATAATACACCCTTTTATCTCATAATTTTTATACTGTATTCCCCCCTTTTTCTCTTCTGAAAGAGATCCTTGAATCTAATCTCCTTTATTTAGCTTTTTCTCTAACCATGACAATTACAATTTGTAACCACCCCCTCCCTAAATGATGACAAATATCTATAACCCATTGAATGACCAAAAGCCATCCACCCCACCTCTTGGGAATGTTCTCTAGACTGCTTTCTGTTGTCTGGGAGTGCAGGCATCTTTAGGAGACCCTGCAAAAATTGGGATAATGGTCAAGTTCTGGGAGAGTTAGCTGTATTATTTGTTGTCCAGTCTCTGTGCAATGGTAAAATGTAGGGCTTATCTGAAGTCTTAGCTGGATAGTCTCTGAGGCTGGACCATCTGAGCCAGCAGCCTTGAAGCTGTTCTGGATGCAGAACTCTGAGGAAGCTGCAACAGAGGCATTCTGAGAGGCTGGATCACCTGAGCTACCCATTTTCGTTGGTGTTTAGTCCCCTTGCTCTGAAAATACATAAACTTTCTAAGGTAACATACATATCTGCATTAAAACAACTATGAACTGTGCACTGTACACAAGCCAGCCAAAGATGATTGTTTGTTTTATGTTTGAGCAGGTAAAATATATGTCACCTGCATTGTAGTTTTTTTTTTTTTTTAGGTTTATTTATTTATGTCTGTAGTCAGGATTTTCAGGGCATCTTCCCTGGTCAAATCTGATCTCCATCAACCATGAATGAATCCACAGCCTTTTGTTTTCTGTGGAAACAAAAGCATAACCTCTTCTCCAAAGTAATACATTTTTTTAGTTCCATTTTAAAGTTAAGGCATTTTTAAAGTTTTTAGGCTAGTTTATTTCAGTAGTCCCTTTCATAATCTCATGTCTTACCAGCAATCAAAGCATTCAAAGAGAACACAATAACATAGAGGATCCCATGCTCCCTGTGTATTTCTCATCTCTACATGGCTTATTCTTTTTTTATATAACTTTACTCTTTTTTTAAAATGGCTTTTTGAGACAGGGTTTCTCTGTCCTGGAGCTAGTTCTGTAGACCAGGCTGGCCTTGAACTCACAGAGATCTGCCTGCCTCTGCCTTCTGAGTTCTGGGATTAAAGGTGTGCACCACCACCGCCCAGATTTTACTCTTTCTTTAAAGACTTTACTCTATTATTTTAAACTATTATTTTATTTCATTTTTTTATGACTATCTATACCCGTTTTCTTTTTTTCTTAAGCCTACACACATTGTTAAACACACTGTAATCTGTTTAGAGATTTTTTTTTCATGCCTAAACCGGCTTTTTTGCATATCTGTAACCTTTTCTGTCTGCATGAGCAAAATCTTAAACTTCCAAGCAGCTTAGCTCATGGAGTGCTGGTGACTAGTTCCACACACCCCCATCCTTAGTTCCCTGAGAGCTTAGCCTCACGGTGGAGGTACAGGAGGGAGCCATGTTTACCACCCCAGCTCTGGGGAGTTTCTGGGTCCATGCTGCTGTAGGTGTTTCTACCTAGTCTCATGCCACCAAGAGCACCACCCTCTGCTCATGAACCCCATTCAAGTGCTCAGTAGCAGGGCCTCTTAAAAGAGCTGTATCTCTATATGCTACTAGCACTGAGCCTACCCAAGAAGTGGCGGTGGCATTTGACTCCATGTTCCAAACCTTTTTTTTAAAAGCTTCCTTAGGTCTCATGTAGAAATATGTGCCCAGATATTGGGTGACATTTGTAGCCGGACATTTTTTGTCCCCCCACTAGCCAGCTCCCAAATAACCACATGGAGACTTCTTATTAATTATGAAAGCTTGGCTGATAGCTTAGGCTTGTTTCTAACTAGCTCTTTTTTTTTCTTGGTTTTTCGAGACAGGCTTTCTCTGTGTAATTTTGCTCTGTAGACCAGGCTGGCCTCAAACTCACAGAGATCCACCTGGCTCTGCCTCACGAGTACTGGGATTAAAGGTGTGCACCACCACCACCACCCCACCCCAATTTTGTCTCTTAATCAAGCAATAGACTTAGGAGGCACTCATTTGGAGAAAAAGGGAGGAATTGGGCAGCCATCGCATCTTTTCCATTATAAACATTTTTTATCTATAGCATATCCCTCACTGAGCTTAGCGACTGCTTAAATGAGACATGTACACAGATACCCTCCAGCAGTGGTGAGTACTCAGGAGCTATTGGGGTTTTAGAATTAAAGATAAATAACCATATTCACACACTCAACTTGGGAGGAATTTGGCCCTTCTCATTGTTCCAATCTTCCCCACAGGCCGGGGACACTGGTTAGTGGCTCGGAAAGGTAGCATGAAGAAAGGTGTGGCTAAGGCATCCACTGAAGGCCAGGAAAACCTGAAGAAGGTTTCTTTCGAGACTGGGTTGAAGAAAGCATCTCGGCGGGAGAGCCAGGCAGACGTTATTGGACACGTCTTGGACCGGGCTTTTCTGGTGAGAGTAAATGCATTCCTGAGGATCTGGCGGCATTAGCTAAGGGAGAGAGAAGGAGGAATGAGGACCCCCTTCCATGCCCTTGTCTGACTAGGGACAAGGACTTGTCTTGCCCAGGTACCACTACTCCTGTCCCACTCTAAGCTATGAGATTGATGGTGGCAAATTGAGTGTGGCTGATGATGAGAGAACTCCGGAAATTTCCTTTAACCCGTGAAGCCTTTACATACTCCCTGTGACATAGGCCCAGTATTGCCATCTTAATTATATTGTTGCCACTGGTAGACGGGGCGTCCCCCATACAGCCAATAAATGGATGACCAGGATTAGAACCCTGACTCTAGTACCTTTATATCATGTAAAATGGCCAGATATGGTGGCACACACCTTTAATCCTTGTACTTGGGAAACAGAGGTAGGTGGATCTCTGTGAATCTACATAGTAAGGGCCTGGCTCCAAGAGAAAAAAGTGCAAAGTCTTATGTGAGTTGGAGAGGTAAGAGTGTTTCAGAAATAAAGGGTAAACTGGGGATCGCATGTCAGTGCTGAGGAGGAGCAAGAGATTCCTGTGTGCCATGCTCTCTGCTCTGGGGTGGGAGCCAGTGGGACTGGAGGTCCTGCTCTCCCCAGCCTTGGTCCTTTGGTTTTAGCATGTGCCTGGAAGCAGGAGGAGCTCATGGGATTGCTCCAGCCAGGCCTGAGGCAGTCTCTCTGGAGAGAGCTGGGGTGCTGGGTTGGAGACCAGCCAGGTGGTTTCACATCTGTCTACACAATGCTTCAGTAGCTTTGCCCAGCAAGATGGATTTTGTAAATTAATATGAATGGGTAGTGTGGTTCTCACTGCTCCCCAAGAAGAACTCCGGCAGCCTCACTCATTTCCACATTCTGCTTGTGAGTCCCAGGAGATGTGTTTCAGAGTTTGCAGGAGAACGTGCTTGGCTCCACCTCCCTTGAGCAGCCAAAGGTTTTTGCAGAGCCTGTGAGGCTTGTTTGACTATCATGACCACTCCTCATTGGAGTCCAGAGGAATGAGCAGCAGTACTGTGGTGGGACAGACCACATCACTCCACAGTGCTCTTTTTCCTCATTCCATTACAGTTGACCCTGCATATCCAGTATTCTTTATCCACAGATTCAAAGAACCACAAATTGAAATGTTTGAAAAATAAAGCAAAAACTTTTCTCTGTACTATGCATGTGCATACTTGTATATTTCTATTCCCTAAACCATATGGTCAAACAACTATTTACATTTTATTTGTACTGTATTAGGTACCATCAATAACCCAGTTATGGTTTGAAGTATATAGGAGGAGATACATAGGTTGTTAACAAATACAACACCATTTTAAATGGGGGACTTGAGGCCTGGAGAGATGGCTCAGTGGTTGAGAGCATTGGCTGCTCTTCCAGAGGACCCAGGTTCAATTCCAGCACCCACATAGAAGTTTAAGACACCTGTAACTTCACCTCCAGGGGATCTGAAACCCTCTTCTTGTTTCCACAGGTATCAGGCACACAGGTGGTACACAGACATACATATAGGCAAGCAGCCAGATATAGAGAATAAAGTTAATTGTTAAGATTCTGAGGTACTGAACGTCCCTGTTTCCACATCCTCGAATTTCCAGCAGTTGTGAGAGGGTGACTGTCCCCACATTTAATTGGCATGGTTTGTTACCTCTATTGCTGCTTTGGGTAGAAGGAGCAATGAGAATGTTTTTCAGAGCATCAGGATCTCTATGCTGCCTCTCAGTTCACAGGCACCTCAGATTGTACTACTGCACACACCCCATTGACCCCACATCCCCAAATATATCATCTCTGTGTCGGCACTAACTAACCAGCCACCAAGCTCGTGACCTGGGGTTCTGCTTTACACTTGCCTCTTGCCCTGTCATACTACCCTCTTTACCAAGTCCTGGAACTCCTGTTAAACATCATCAAGTCTATCTTCCTCTCATCTCTTCTGCTGCAGCTCTTAACTCAGCCACCATCATCTCTTATTGGACTAGCCACAGAACTCTCAAACTAGTGCAAACCAATTAGAATGCTTTTCTTTTGGGTCATCAAGATGGCTCAGTGAGAAAAAGCACTTGCTGTACCAAGCCTGACATGCTGAGTTCGATCCCCAGGAGGGAAGGTAGAAGGAGAGAACCAACTCCCAAAAGTTGCCCTCTGACCTTCCCATGTATGACATGGTGTGTGCACACATGCACACATCCCCAGATGCTGCTGCTGATAATCAAATAGTATAAATCAAATGCTTTTGTTTCACACAGAAGCCTGAGGCATTGCTTGGGATCCATTACGTCATGGGTATGTAACATCTCCCAAGGCTCCGTCCTTCCATCTTTCTGCTCTGTCCTCCTCAGCATGCTGACTTGTCCTCCTGGCCCGACTCCCTTTATTATTCCAAAATGGCTGCAGCAGTTCTGATCATCACACACACACACACACACACACGAGGACAATATCCAGAGGCAGAGAAGGGGTTGCCACTGTACCATGCCTGCCTTTAGAAGAAAGGACATCCCTAAACTGTCACCCACTCCTGCTCTCAGCAGCCAACATCTTATTGGCATGACCTACATATCCAGTTACTGGTTGGTGGAACAAGACCTTGATGTTTGGCTGGGACAGGTTGAGGCTTGTTCTTGGGGCTGGAGCTTGGAACATGTCCACTTTAAGGAAGGAAAATGACCTCAGTGTTCTTTAACAGGGAAGATGTAGACGAATGTTTATTGGAAGGGGCATTAACAACTTCTGGCACATTGGTCTCTTCTGTCTTCTTATCCTTTCTAAGGAGGTCAGACATACTGCTTTTTAAGAAACCGCTGTCAGCCATTACTTAATCCACACTCTTGTTCAGAGCCAATGTGGATCCGAATGGTCTCACAACTCACCCTCTAACCTTGTCTTGGCTACCTCTCAAAAACTCTGTGCCTTCTCCTGCCTGGAAGGCCTGCACACTCCCTACCCACGTCATAGGATTGTCTCTTAGCCCTCAGCTGAAAACCACTTCCTCAGGTCAATGTTTCCTCTTCCTGAGACTGAGGTTGGGACCTCCCGTTTCCATACCCCATGGAATCTTGTATTTCTCCTTTAAAATAATCATTACATTTCTAAGTACTTGTCATTTGACTTCCCACTAAGTGAAGGTGTGGAAGGCATCTGCCACTTGCCCCCTGTCTTCCCTGAGCCTGTTTAGAGCCTCTTCAAAGTAGGCACCATACAGGATGCCCATAACGGGTGGGACAAGGAGCGCCATAGCATCAAACTAGGAGATACTTTGAAGCCGATATTCAATCCTAACTTTTTCATTATATATAATGACATGCAGTAGGCAAAAATGTGTGGTTTAGTGAGTACAGATTTGAATCCAAATCATAGATCAATCATGTACTAGCTAGAGAACCTCAGGCAAGGCACCTTCTATCTCTGAGCCTCATTGAAGGGGGGAAATAAACCCTTTAAAGTAATACTGAAAGAGAGAGCTAAACCCTTCAGCACAACTAATAAGTAATAAGAAACACTATTTACAATAGAGGGGTTCAGTTAGGATTAAACATGAGTTTGTTAATATAGTCAGTTGTGGCCCAAAGGTGGTACTCAGTTAATACTCAGAGAATGAATGAATGCACGTGCAAACAAATGGCAAGTTTTATGAGAGTGCCCATTGAGAAAACACTCAGCAGAAATAGCCTAACATTGCATTCTGTTGGGACCTTGGGGACCAACTCTGTGTCCTGTGTTCCAGCTGAAGCACCACTGTACAAGAAAGCCATCAGATCTTTGCACTATCAATGTGAGCGGCATGAAGTTCTCCAAGGTGAGGTCAGCAGCCAAGATGTGACAGAGCCAGATGTGAGGGGGCTACCTGGATGCTCTGGTTTGTGTATGGCACCTCCACAGTTCCTGGGCACTAGAAATCAGTTATGTAGAAAGAGAGGGGAATCGGGCAGACAAGGGCTCACTGGGTAGAAAAAATAGTCACACACAAACGTTGCTATAAATTTGGTATTTGTGTGAATTAGCAAAACTCACCTTAGGAATCTGTTCTTGAGCCTGGGGCATAGAACATGGTGTGAATTGGCTAGGGAATTTGAGTAGAGTGTAATTCCTTGTATGGAGTTTCCATCACGGGAGCTTACCATCTGGTAGGAGTAAAGAAACTCTTATGATGAGGAATGTACAAGAGTGTATGGCACCAGTGTTTGTAATTATGGAGATTTTGAAACGGATAAAATGTGCACCCACTAGGAAAGGACAGTTTGTCATAGAGTCAAGCAAGGAATTCAAATGGATGAACTGGACCTATGTGTATCAACACAGATTAATCTCCAAAGATATATATATATATATTATATATAATATATATATCACATAAGTCTCAAAATCATACTATTGAGTAAAAAGGCATATTGTATCATAAGACTGTATGAATATAAAGTTTTAAAACATGTAAATAACCCTATGTATAGTTAATGGACATAAACATGTGTGTATATAATATGCCTAAAAATCAAGAACGGGAATGAGGTGTGAGATTTGGGGAGGAGATATATAGAGGGCATGATGATAGAGGTCATAAGTCTTTGAAGCTGAAACAGTTCAGACTCAGATCTGTTAAAACTGGGTCATATTTGGCTACATCTTCAAAGATCACTCACGGTGCTTTTCCATATATTTGGAGTACTTCAGGGTAGCATAAAATGAACAGAAAAGCCCTCACAGCTCTCCCCCACAGGGCTGCTCTTGCACTAAGAATATCTCTTAGTCCTTTGGGCGTTTGTCCTCTCGGCAGTTGCTCTGGTGTTCCTGCAGGGCTCCTGGGCTGGGAACTAATCCTGTGTTTTCCTGGAATCCTGACAGGCAAAGGAAAAGGACTTCAAACATTTTACTTCTGTGATTTATATCAACGCCTCTGAAAACCTGCTGCCTCTAGGTGAGCTTCCTCTTCTTGGAAACTATCCTCCTGGCCAGAATATCACTTGCGATAGGATTTGTCTGTCTGTCCAACTGTCATGGGCCTTTTGTCTCTTGTAGAGTAGCAGGAGAGTAAGGGCCCTGGAGAGCGCTCAGGTCTGCACTCTGGTCCTGGGCTGTCCCTGAAGCATGCCTCTCTGTGAGTTGATGCTCCTCTCCTCCAACCTTGCAGGCTAGCTTGCAAACTCCAGGGAGAGAGGCATTTAAACCTGTATGTGCTCCTGCCAGAGAGAAAGCCTCTTGGTAATTCAGCAAATCTACAGTGACCCCTGCTGGTGTCAGAATGTGTGGCCTTTAAAAAGAAGCGTGTCCTGCTCCGGACAGCTTATGCTTTATGGGCTCAGACTCAGACCAAAAGCAGGGTACATGTAAGCAATGGTACAGGGGAGTCAGGAAACACTATGTAAGCATACAAGGGGGACTTTAACCCAGACCAGTGAGTGAGTCAGGAAAATGTAAGAGAAGAACACCTAAGCTAAGATAAATAAGCTGGGCTGGCAAGATGGCTGAGGGGGTTAAAGCACCTGCTGCCAAGGTCAGTGACCTGAATTTATTCCCTGGGACTCACGTGGTAGATGAGAACCATCTCCCGAAAAGTTGTCCTCAGACACAGACACACACACACACACACACACACACACACACACACAGACACACACACACACACACACACCACAATGTAATTTTAAAAAAATGACTCAGGAATTAGTAAAGGTGTTTTGGTTTGAGGGGCAGCTGTGTACTGCCTGGTCAGGAAGATTGCTGACAGGGGATGAATGGGGAGGCCTGAGGCTAGACACATTGGCAGGACTTTGGGATCATGGAGTCCTTGGGGAGTTGAACTTAATCCTCCAAACAGTAGAGGGACAAATCTCTCCCACTCGAATCCCCCAAGTAAACACACAGAGGCTTATACTGGGGAAGGCTTTTAGACAGGGAAGCTCAGTGAGAAGGGGTGGATTCTGAGAGAGAAAAATGGAGGCCAGGAGATGAGAGGGATCATTTCAGTTTTCCAGGGGAGAGGAGGTGATGCTTGAGACAGGCAGAGTGAGGGGGATTGAGAGAGTGATTTGGGGAGAGGTGGGACTCACGAAAGGGGTGAATCAAGGGGAATACTCAGAAACAGTCCTGGAAGGGTGGGGCCAATGAGATGAGCTCGGTTTGTCTCAGTGAGTTGGTTGGGAGCTTCTAAAGAGGCATCCGATGAGATCCCTGCCTTAGAAGGAAGTGTAGTATGCTAGGAGATGCCTTGGTACAAACAGGCCAAAAGGCACGTGAAAAGATGATCAGCCCCACTAATAAGGGAAACAACACCAGGATACTATTTTATGCCCGTCAAATATTGGCAGGTATGAAAAAGACGGATTAAGAGCCAGAACTGGTGTGGAGGTGGGTACTCTCGGTGAAAGTAAAATATGAGAAGTCGATGTGACACCATGGAGGTAATTTGATAGTATCTCTTAAAGTTTAAAACAGGCCTGGAGAGCTGGCTCAGCTGTTAAGAGCATTTGCTGCTCTTGCAAAGGACCCAGGTTCGGTTTCCAGCCCCCACATGACAGCCCACAGCCACCTAGTTCCAGGGAATCCAGTGCCCTCCTCTAGCCTCCATGGGCTCCTGCACACACTGGTGCACATGAGGTCACACAAGCACACAAACATACACTAAACAAGCAAACACATACGTAAATAAATCTTTTAAAAATTGAAATAGTCATTGCTTTTTGTAGTTCCATTTCTAGGAATCTGTTCTCCGAGAGAGATTTACACGAGGAAATTCCCACTGGACAGTCTCTCATTAGGCCTTACTGAACATTCTGACTCACAAGCCTTCTATAGGCCACACAGTACACCAGGGTCACTTAGAAGATTCTAAGTGATTCTACACTACATGTCAGTTGCACAGCTTCAGAAGTTCTTCAGTGGAGTCCCCATGGCTGGCCGTCTACAGGGCTGCCCACTAGCCAAGTATCATCCCAGGTGTAGGACAGAAACTCTCACTGGGTAAATGCAGGAATCACCCTTGCTTGGAAATCTCATCAACCACAGGAACCAATGTCCCTTGTGACATTCCATAGGTCTGTAGCTTGTAGCATTCCCATAAAGGACATGCCTGATTATAGGAGTCACCACTTACAGAAAAGCATCCCCTTCGGATGTTTATAATTTATACTTTCTCCTGGCCCAGACACAATTTACTGGTCTGCAATCATTTTTACCACAAGCAATAGTTGCCTAGTAACACAGTTACCATAGCATGTACATCAGGTTTCCAGGGAAACAGGACTAGAAAGAAAATCTGAGATCCAGTTATCATGCAAGAGGGAGTGTTTGATTACCTCTTACTCACATAGCCTAAATGCTACCATAGGAAAAGGGTTAAATTATGGCATGTCTGTACCAGAAGGTAACTAAGATATTGGACCAATCTGTTTGTTTTAGCATGGAATAATCTTCAAGTCATACTGCTAAAGGAGAAAAGCCACAATACAGCATATATTCCATGTTTGTAAAAAGAAGATTGTATTTCAATACATACATGAGAAAAATATGAAGTATATACAAGGAATTTTAAACAGTTGACACTGAATGTTGGGATTAAAGGAACTTTTTTTCCTTGTGATGTTTGACTCTTTGGGGGTAAGCATGTTGACATCTCTAATCAGTATCTAGGAGTGTGGCTCAATGGTAGAGAGTCTGCCCGGCATGCACAAGGGCCTGGGCTTGCTTCCTGGGCTGGGAAGAAAAAAGAAGAAAGAACAGAGATAATTTTTAAATGGGCTTTGCATTGGAACAGACTTACTACATTCAATCCTTAGTTTTCCCACTTACTAGCAATCCCATTTCTAACAAGTCACTTTGTCTGCCTGGGCCTCCATTTCCTCAACCATAGAATGAAAATTATAATTCCCATTAGTGAGAGATTTAAAATTTTCTAAAAGGTGTGTGTGTGTGTGTGTGTGTGTGTGTGTGTGTGTGTGTGTGTGTGTGTGTGTGTGTGTTGGGAGTGTGTACATGAATGCAGGTACCCATAGAGGACAGGAGAGAGAGGTCATTGGAACCACTGGAGCTGGAATAACAGGCGTTGGAAGCCACCCAGTGTGGCTGCTGGGAACTGAACTCTGGTCCTCTGCAAGAGCAGTAAATCCTCTTATCCCAAGCCATCTTTCTAGCCCTATGGTTAGAGATTTAGAGGCCTGATGCATAAAGTGATACATAAAGCGTCGTCCACAGTACTCACCCATCCCCCTGTGGAAGCTCAGTGAATGGTCATTATTAGCATCTTTCTCTTTACGCCTATACAAGCTCAAGATTCTCTCTTTCTGTTCCCATGTAGATGCTTTTCATACATTTCCAGCCCTAAAGGAACTGGAGCTTGCATTCAACGGCATCAAGATGATTTATGTGAAATATGGAGACTTCAAGACATTGGAAGTAAGTTGGAGGTAGGGAGTTTTTGATCCTACCTGTTAGTCTGTAAGGAATTAGTATAAGGGTCTTTACAGATTGTAACTTTGGGGAAGGGTTCTCTGGGCTTTCACTCTAGGCTCTTCATGGATGGCCTCTGGAGAGGGTGGTGGTGGTGGTGGTGGTGGTGGTGGTGGTGGTGGTGGTGGTGATGGTGGTGGTGGTGGTGGTAGTTGTGGTGGTGGTGGTGGTGGTGGTGGTGGTGGTGGTGGTGGTGGTAGTTGTGGTGGTGGTGGTGGTGGTGGTGGTGGTGGTGGTGGTAGTTGTGGTGGTGGTGGTGGTGGTGGTGGTGGTGGTGGTGGTGGTGGTAGTTGTGGTGGTGGTGGTGGTGGTGGTGGTGGTGGTGGTGGTGGTGGTAGTTGTGGTGGTGGTGGTGGTGGTGGTGGTGGTGGTGGTGGTAGTTGTGGTGATGGTGATGGTGGTGGTGGTGGTGGTGGTGGTGGTGGTGGTGGTGGTGGTAACAGTATTAGTATCATAGGAGGAGGAGTTTCATAGGAGATGTATCTCCTTATGTGTTTGAAGGGCTGTGGAGGTTAAGAGCCAGGAGCAGTAAGATAGAGACATTGTGAACCAATACCAAAACACACCTGACCTCAGTAACCTAGGTTAGTCCCAGTGGGGTAATATAGGCTGTACATCTATTCTGTAGACCTAGAGATGAGGATAGACAAAATAGGGCTCCTGTGAACTCAATAGTATATTCTAGGCACATGCACATCTCTATCCTCAGAACCTTGGGATAGAAAATTTGGTTTGCCTATCTTTATACTTTATTACCACTTGTGACTTTGATAGACTAGAGGCCACTTTTTACAAGGGAATGAAGTTCTTGTCACTAACTGAGAGTCACTGTAGACATGGACTAGAGAACAGTGCCAAAAGTAGGACTCAGCCACCTGGCCAGGCTCACTCTCTCCCTGAGTAATAAACCCTACCCTTTATGCTGGCCTTACAGGAAAGCATTTCCATCCATGCCTTAGCAGCGTATCTACATGCTGTAAGCTTTGGTAGCTTAAATCTGCAAACATCAGAGGTCAGCCATGCTTCATGTGTGCCTCACTTAACTTGTCTCAGAGAGATTGACTTTTTCAAGGAGTTGATGGCCTTTATACGCCAGAGTTTGGAAACACTTTAACATCATGGGAATCTTCCCAAGACGGACAGTGTCTCCTCAAATTCTGAAAACATCCTGTGCTGAATGCAGTGCTGACCTTTCTCATGGTTTTGAGTCGATTTGCTCTGACTTGGGACATGAGTTGGTCCTCAGACTTATTTATTAGACAAACTCACAAAGTCCAACAAAACCCAAACTAAGTAACTAATACAGCTTGGAGCTATGTTAAAGCATCTTTCTGTATTATATCTTGGTGCTGATGGTGCGAAGTAGATCCTAGACACTAGAGATCCAGGGAGCCATTTCTTTGGCCTTCAAGCCCAGGTGCCTCCTGTGGACTCCCATTATTCTTGGACTTTTTCAGAGAACAGTCACTGGACTCCCGAGAATTGCATATTGTGCCATAAATCTTGTCTTCCTCCTTCCAGATATCCCAAACACTCCAAAGTGCCAGGAGCCATCCAGGGAGACGTGATCACAGGCTTTGGCTCTGAATGGCTAGCTTGGGATCTAATGTTCACCATGATTGATTTTGTACGTGCCTTACTTTATAATTTGATTGCATCTGATGAAGATTATTTATCCTTCAGACCCGGTATTAGTCAAAAGAATTTGTCAACAAAAGAAAACAGACTCATTTTAGGATGCAGAATATAAATGAGAAAAGGAAATCTCTGGATCAGTCATTTGTTCTTGTCTCTCTGTGATTTGCAAGGGCTCCCTAGGAAAAAAGATAAACATGTCAAATGTCCTGAATTTGCATCTCACAGTAATGAATACTTTAATGTGTAATAAAACTCAATGTGACTCAGCAGATACAGCAGCCAGGCCAGGAATCTCTGTCCTTGGTTGTCAGCAAACCTGCCCCGAGGGGAGCAGCCCAGAGTGGAATTCCTCCATAGTCAGTTCTGGAGAAATTAACTTTGCCATGATTTGATTCCCTGTTTACAAATCTGAAAACTGTCCAGCAGGACCTCTGCCCCAGCAGCCGGAAGCTTTACTCTAGTCTTTCCTGCCAGCCCTTTGCTGGCACCTTGGCTTGAGGTTAAAGTTTCCCCCTTTGTAAATCTGGGCTGGCTCTAAAATTCTGTGAACTATGATGCTACAAATATTTATTTCTTGAGCTAACCTTCATGGAAAGCAAATCTGGATCCAACATTAAATAGCCAACACAGTAGAATAGGGGTCCACAGTTTGTTTTTTTCTGTAAGAGACAAGAAATTTAGTATATTAAACTTTGGGTCCATCTCTTCATAATAATTAGGACTGTCATAACAAGTCATCCATGCCTCTGTAGAAAGAAAGAACTGTAGACAGAATGCAGGCAAACAAGCATGATGTTGAAATGTGAATTTCTCATAATTGCCACATGGAGCACACTATTCTTCATTTATTTATTTATTTATTCATGCATTCATTCATCTCTGTCTGTCTCTCTCTCTCTCTATCTATCTATCTATCTATCTATCTATCTATCTATCTATCTATCTATCTGAGACAGGGTGTATCTGTGTAATCCTAGCTCTCCTAAAACTTACTCTGTAGCCCAGGCTGGCCTCAACTCACATAGATCCACCTGCTTCTGCCTCCCGAGCACTGGGATTAAAGGCGTGCGCCACCTAACCTGGCCCCTTGTTTTTATTTTTAAGTGTAAAGATCATTCTTAGCTCTTTGGCCACAAACGAGCATCAGGCTGGATTTGGCTTGTTGGCTGTGGTTTGCTGACTCCTGAGCTTGAATACCGGTGAACCAGTTCAAATGTGGATAGGATGGAGAGTGAGTGTTGAGGTTGGGTAGTGCTGTGTAAGCCTGAAGAAGTGGCTCCGGACAGACCTCAGAGTGTCTCGAACTTGCTAAGGAGCTGAAACTGTCTTATAGGATCATGGAGTTTTAAGCTGGAGCATGTTGTGGTCAGAGTTGTGTTTTAGAAAATGTGTTCTGGCTGCTGTATGAGGCATGGGTCGGAGGGACCATGAGAGACACAAAGGAGGCAGATAAAATCCACTATGTCTTGGCAGTCCACATGTGAGTGTTAGAGACAAGGACTTCCCCATCTTCATGTGTGCTTTTCATAACTTATTTCCAGGCCTTCCCCTCTCCTTGTTCCAGCCAAGTGAGATGGCCCTGTTCTGTGCACCTCACGCCCTCTCTTTCCTGTTGGTGCTTGGAGCTTTTCACATCCTGGCCAGTCTTATCCATCCTCTCCTATACCATGAGCTTCACTGGCACCCAAACCTTTTACAGTCCTCAGAACCAGCAAGATGGCTCCTGCTTCCATCTGTGCCTCTCTCACTCCAGCACTCTGTGCCTTTAGCAGTCTTGTCTGAGGGTGGCTCAGATGCTGCCGCTGGGTGGGGCCTGTGCTGGATTCTGGCAGACCTGGCTGTTGCTGCCTTTGTGGCTTGTGGTGTGTGTCTAGACGTCCATCCTAGTGGTATTACTTCTGTCTCTCTTAAATTGACTTAGTTGCTATCCTGTGGCAGTTTCATGTACGTATAAAATGAATTTTAATCCTCCCACCTAGTACCTGTTTCATCCCTCTTCCTCTCCTGCTGAAACCTGTCTTCCCAAGACCCCCTTCTGCCTTTATGACCTGTGTGTGACCCTCTGGGCTGCCTGCATGAGCTTAAGTGGGAGGTTATTTACCAGAACATGGACAACGTATCACCACTGAAGAAAGTGACACCCTTCCCCTGCCACTATTAACTACCAGTAGTCCTTCCAAGGGGCCCGGGCCCCATGAGCCCTTTCTCCTTCCATGATGAAATGTTGATGGTCACCACAGCCGCAGTGAGATGATGAGTGCACCGGCACGTCACACTCAGAAGACAGTTTTACAGCATTCCTCTCCAGCCTTTTAAAGCCTTGCAACCCCTCCTCTGCGATGGTCCCTGGGCCTTGAAGGAGAGGATGCAGGTGTCCCATTAAGGCCAAGCACTCCACAGCCTCTTAGTCTCCACACTGGATCAGTTGTGAGTCTCTGTTAACCACTGACCACACAAAAGCAGCTTCTCGGAGTCCGGCAGCATCACTTATTAACAGATGGACAGTGATACTTGCAGCCCAAGCTGGGAGCTCCCAGAGGGCAAGGACAAAACAAGCCTTCAGGATGGGGCTGGTATATCTGCTCTGTGTCAGGGCCTGTGCTCATAAGGCTGCAATACTGCAGTGACTTGGCCTCTGACCTCCAAGGGCCTTACGATCCCATCCACTCCTCCACTGTGTGCCAGACATAGTACATGGCACTCCTGTTTCTTGTACATCTCCAGCTATCTCAAGACCCTGCAGACTTGGACAAGTACCCTGGGGTAGTTTAGACAAGGCTTACAAAGCCAGAGGAGGGAGACAGCTCACCTGGCTGAGGTTTGGGGACTATTTTATAAGGAAGCAGCTTTGAGATGGCCTTCTGGGGCTAAGATTCCCATGCCCAGAGAAGGACATCCTTCTCGTGGAGACATAAAGAGGGTGACTGGTGGGATAGGCAAGGGGCAGGGAGGAGTCTGAGCAGTGCCACCAGGGAGACAGAGATGCAAGAGCATGAGCCTGACTCCCACAGGTGATGCGGTTTTCCAGGAAGTGAGGAGGGGGCATAGTCAGCTCCCACTGTGTTTGGGCCTCACTGTCACATGTTGCTTCTCTTGTCCCTTCTTTTGTTTTGCATGGTAGTTCTTGGACCTTTCCTTCAACAGCCTGACTGAGGATGCCATCTGCGATCTGGGGATTCTGCCGCATCTCCGTGTGCTGCTCCTCACAGGCAATGGGCTCACCTCTCTGCCATCCAACATGGCTGTCACAGAACAGTAAGTTCTACACCTGTGAGTTTATTCTATGTGTCCCCTCAGAGGCCTGAGTCCTGACATCAAAGGAATAGTTCAGAGCAACTCTTCTTGGAAATTCTGTAAAGTCAGGCTTTGAGTGCCCAAAGGGTGAATGCTGCCTATTTATCCTCCCAGGAAAGGCCCCAAATGGATGCTTTCCTGTGTGCTATTAAGAGAAATTAGAGCTGGGCATGATGGTGCAAGCCTTCAATCCCAGCACTTAGTAGGCTGGAGCAGGTCAAGCTCTGTGAGTTCCAGCCAGCCTGGTCTACATAGCAAGTTCCAGCCAGCCAAGGCTATATAGTGAGACCCTGTCTCAAAACATACATGCATACATGTATGCACAATGGACACAAACACACATGTGCATACCTGTACACACACACACACACACACACACACACACACAGAGCCACTTTCCCTGCCTCTGATGCTTGGTAAAGCATGGGTGTTGCTCTTGCTAGCTGTTCCCCTTATAGGCCCTCGGTCCCATCTCCGTAAGTTGACTTGCTAGCCTCTCAGCAACCTCTGTACACTCTCATTCTGCGCCTCTGTTGAGGCTGTTCCTTCTGCCAGAACATACTTTCTTTTCTGAATAACAAAACAGAAGCAGGGTTTACTGTGTGCCAAACACTGTTCTCCACACTTCACTGGTGTTAGTTCATCGAACTCTCCTGGTCATTCTATGACATGGGTGATTATCATCCCATTTTCCAGATGAGGAAATTGAGGTAGAGAAAAAGTTAAATAGCTTCCCCAAGTTTACAAAACTAGCTTCTCAACAGAGCCAAGATTTGCATCAAGTTTTTCTGACTCTAGAGGCAGAAGCTGCAGTCATCATCATGGCTTCTCATATAGGCTGATCATATTCCAAGGCCCAACTCCTATCCCATTTCCCCTCTTTTCTAAGCATCAGGCAAACTGAAGGTTTTCCTAGTTAGTCTAGTACCTGACTTGTCTGTTGTGACCTGGGCAACCTAAACGTGTGTCTTTATAGAAGGTAGATAGACGGCTGGTACATCTGACCTCTCCATGAGGGTCAGGAGCACTCTCAAAGCAAGGGCTCTGATCTCATCTCTAATCTGCAGCAGCTAGACAAGGATCTGGTGCTTCCCATATAATCTGTAGTAAGTTGATGTTGACCAATAGAGATATTGATGGCGACAGTCCTCGTGATGGTGATCATTACTATGGTAAAAGATAAGGGGACAGTGACAGTGGTGTGGCAGTTCGTTAGTTATTCCAGGGGTGCAGGATAATAGTGATTATTGGATTTAGTGTTTCATTAGTTAGGATTATTTTGTTTCCAAGCTGGGTTTCACAAATCCAGTTCAAACTAACTGAGACAAATGAACCATTAGTGGTATCATGTACCTATAATATCAGTATGTAAGAAGTTAAGGCAGGAGGATCATGGGAGTTCAAGGTCAACCTGGGTTACACAGTGAGACCTTGTCTCCTGTACAAAAGAAAAAGGAGGAGTGGAGAGTTGATTCAACAGTTAAAAGCACCGTGTTGCTCTTGCATCAAGGACCTAGGTTAGTTCTCAACACCCACAAGGCAGCTAACAATCATTTGTAACTCCAGTTCCATAGGATCCAATGCCCTCTTCTGGCCTCCATGGGCACTGCATACATGTGGTGGACAGACATGCATACAGACAAAGCACCCGCACACATTAAAAATGATAATTTTTAAAAGTAAAGGAAAAGGGCCCTATTAATCTGGAAAGTCCTAAAAATGAATCTGCAGGATTTGTATGCTGGGCATTGGGGACAGGAAGTGTCAGGGTTCTGGGTGTCTTTCTTTTTCTTGGTCCCATTTGCAACTTCTATTAGGGTGCCTGTCATCTGCTCTTAGACACCTGCACACAGCTTCGCTTGCCTCTGTGTTGACTTCATCTGAAGGTAGGCTTTCTCTGTGAGAGGATGTGTCTCGGTCAGACTCACAAAAAAGCATTGCAATTAGAGAATCCACTTGTCCTGAGTAGAGAGAGGTCATCATTTGTATTCTATTATGGAAAAACTTCAGAAATGTAAAAGGAAAGTTATGGCTTGAGTATATAATATCCCCTTGGATGGCTTCTATACTAAAGGGTAGGTCCCCAGCTGGTGGGGCTGTTCTGGGAGGTACCAAAACTTCAGGAAGTAAGGCCTCGCTGCAGAACGTCATTTCCTGGGGAAGGTGCTTGGGGTATCGTGTATCCCTCCCATTCTTGTCTCTGATTCCAGCCCTTCCCGAGGTTGGTAATCTGTGCCACAGACTCCCATCAGCATGATTCCCTCTCACTGTAAGCCCAGAATCAAGAGAATCAAGACCACCAATGGCCAAAACAAACGCTTCTTTCTTTTGAGTTTCTTCTCACGGGTGTTTGTCACAGCAGTGGACAAACCACTTACCAGACAGAGTAAAAGGTGAAATGAGCCCCTGTTCCTCCCACCCAGTATTAGCCCCTGACGGTTGTGAGGTCATGGCAGTCTGTTACAGCTATACCCCTACCATACCCTATTGTAGATTATTCTAAATAAATAATGTATCCAGCTATAAATGAATCTACTCAAAAATGAATCAGCAGATTCATGTACCATCTATAAATACTCAATATATGCTTCGAGAGATAAGGGCTCTTTTAAAACTCAGAACCAACAAACCTTATTCCACCTCCAGCCTCACCAATTGATAAGTAGAGAGAAGTAGTTACAGAAATCTCAGGACGATGCTGGAGCAAATGGAGCAGAGGGGCATGGAAGAACCAAGGAAGGAGGGCTGACCCTCAGCTGTTGGAAGTTAACTCTCGTGGACTGGAGCCAGGAGTCTGCGTCTGCCATGGACTTTAGAGAGGCCATTGCTCTGATTCTAGTCCTGCTGCCTCAACACTTGCCACTGTCACGGCTCCTGTGCTATCAGAAGCCGGGCAGAGAGAGGATTTACCTCCCACTCTCCTGGGCTCCGTAGAGGCTTACCAGACCCTTCAATCGATAGCTAGAAACCAGTTTAAAAAGTCAGTTTAGCGTGTATAGTTAAGCTGTGCCATGTAGAGCTGAGCACAGAGGCAAGGGGTGAAGGCTGACAGCATGGAGCCAGCTGACTGGCATGCCCACCCCTTGGAGCCCTAATATCTATCTCCCCTCTCCATATTTAATTCCCACACAACGGTGATAATCATTATAGGCTTCATGTAACTTACATTTGAAGACACTCACCCTCCTCCACAGTGGGCTGAGATGTAGTTCCATCCGCTACTGTATCTATCTCTGAATAACTATTTCCATAGAAATTTAGGAGCCAGGCATGGTAGCAATCGCCTGTAATTCCATCACTTGGAAGAGAAATGTAGGAGGATTGAGAGTTCAGTGCTAGCCTGAACTATACCATGAATTTGATGTCAGCCTGAGCTATCCAGTGAGACTGTCTCAAAAAAAGAAAAGAAAAAAAAACATTTGGATGTTTTATAACCTGAAAACTAAGTTACAAAGTCAGTGATCACCTAGCAATTTATATGTGTAATGCACATGCACATACTCATATGTGTGTATAAAACCAGAAAGAGCTGGGTGGTGGTGGTGGTGGTGGCGGCGGCGGCGACGGCGGCGGCAGCGCACGCCTTTAATCCCAGCACTCAGAAGGCAGAGGCAGGTGGATCTTTGTGAGTTCAAGGCCAGCCTGGTCTACAGAGCGAGATCCAGGAAAGGCGCAAAGCTACACAGAAAAACCCTGTCTTGAAAAACCAAAAAGAAAAAAAAAAAAAACAGAAAGAAAATATAATGAGCTGGGCGGTGGTGGCACACGCCTTTAATCCCAGCACTTGGGAGGCAAAGGTAGGCAGATCTCTGAGATTTCGAGGCCAGCCTGATCTACAAAGTGAGTTCCAGGACTGTTACACAGAGAAACCCTGTCTCCAAAAACCAAAAACCAAAAAACAACAAAAAAAGAAAACATTCATAATTACTGCAGTCATTTTTGTAGGCTAATTTTTCTTTGGGCTGCCAGCACCCCAAAAAATGACATGGAGACTTATATTAATTATGAAAGCTCAGCCTTAGCTTAGGCTTGTTTCTAACTACCTCTTATAACTTAAATTAACCCATATTTTTAATCTACATTCTTTCACATGCTTGTTACCTCATCTCCATTATGCCCATCCTGGTTATTCTGTGCCTGGCTAGTGACTCCACCTTCTTCTTCCCAGCGTCCTCCCTGCCCCGAAAATCCTGCCTAGTTATTGGCCATTTAGCTTTTTATTAAACCAATCACAGTGACATATCTTCACACAGTGTAAAGGAATATTCCACAACACATCTCTCTTACTTGGTCAGGTCATAGTGGATATCTATAAATTTTCCCATCACCCCTTTAAGGTCCTGTTACTGTCAGCCAGCAACCTCAGCCAGTTACAGCTCTTCAGTCTTCACTCCCAAAGAGACTGAGCACTGAACGTCTCACTTTTTCAGGGGCTTCTATGGTTTTCTAGTAACTTTTTCTAAATGTCATAGACTCTCTAACGGGAGACCAACAATTCACGAACTCCAAAGGTGGTATTTTGGGCCTTCAAGGAATAACAACAGTATATTTACTTTTGATAATTACTCATATTGTCAAGAGCAAGTCCCCTCTTTGCCTGCCTCTTGGTTCAATGAAACAAGAAACCCAAGTGTCTGGTAACAGTATTAGCTTCTAGTTCAATGAGACTATTCTTGTGACCCCCCCCCCCCAGGGAGCACCTCTCTTGAGAAGACAGACCTCTAAGTCAGAAGCACCTGAAGTGGGACCATCAGGATGGCTCAGTGTTTAAAGAACTTGCCTCACAAGCCTGCTGACCTGAGTTCAATCCCTGGAAGCCATATTTATGTGAGAAGGAGAGAACTAACTCCAGAAAGTTAGCCTCTTACCTCCACATACATGCTGTGGCATGTGCATGTACACACACACACACACAGAGAGAGAGAGAGAGAGAGAGAGAGAGAGAGAGAGAGAGAGAGAGA